AGAATCTAGAATTCTGTAAAATTTCAGTTCCTAAGGGAGACGGGGGAGTGGATAGAAGGTGAGAATTTTGCTCATTGCAGCACCCAAAAAAAACATTTTTTTTTTTTTTTTTTTTAAACACTTCAACTTATAAAACAAAGGACAGGACAGGACAGGACAGGAGCTCTATCTGGAAACAAAGATCATAGTGGAAGGGGCATTAAGTTGTGCAACCACATTCCAAACAAAGTCCAAGTTATTTCCAGTATTTGCAAGAAGTCTCAGCATGTTCCAGACTGTAAGCTACCTTACTGGACCCAGGACATTTTACTACAGTGTGTCATTAGCTAATCAATGGATTTTCACTTTCCACATTTTGCCAGTGCAGTATTTTCCTTTTATAGTTCTGTTGTTTGTGACAAAGTCTGGGGTCTGAAGTTTTCCTGCCTGTTGCTTAAAATGACTGGGCTGCTCCCCTTCTACATTCCATGGAGACAAGTGTTTCTAAAACATGACATTCAGCATAAATCTTAACTTTATTGAAAATGAGGACATTTTAAAAATCAATGCTTAACAGATTAGCGTACACAAACTATCACCTAAATAAAAAAGGGAAAAAAAGAAAAGGTTTGGAAAGTAATTTTGCTTCAGCTTACACTAATAAATACAGTAGTTTGAAACGGATATTTAGGGAGTGTGCACATCAGCTTTTACTAAAAATGTAAACCACTTAAAATCAGTAAATAACTTGGGTAAAAACTCATGTGAAGACAAGCCCTAAGAAGGTATAGACATACGATGTGTGTATAAGCATACAGCAAATTATTATTTTTGAAAAAAATATCATTTTATAGAAATATGCAAAGTCTAATTGTTTCCATATATAAATTAATCTGTTTATAAAATGTATGACAGTTTACACATTTGGCTCTACATATTCTTTTTTTATTCAAAGCATACATTATAACGGGTTGTTTTTAGCTGTATGTTGCAAATATTCTTGAATATAAATATGCACCTGTCCAGGTTACTTTGTTCTTAATATAGATATAAAATGACTTAACAAGGCTGTATGCACAATAGTTCTACATACTTCTTGGACCCGTAGAGAACAGTTAAAGGCACCAGTCCTTGTGAAGACAAATTAAGACGGCTGTGGATTTTCTAGGTTAATAGGAAGTTGAAGCCAGAACACATTAAGAATTTGAATTTCAACCAGCCTGATGCAGAAGTGTGCTGGATGTATTAGATGCATACACAAACAACAGTTAACTCCTTCCTTATTTATCCCATTTACTTTTTTTTTTTTTTCACAGTAGAATGCAGTCTGTGGAACACCTACGGGTTTGACTTTGTTGCAAAAGTTAATGTGTGAAAACGTGGCATTATGGAAGCAGTCTTGTCTCAATCCCAACTGCAAAGACGTAGTCCTGTAGTTTGTTTGTTTGTTTTTTTTTAAACTGAACTGAAAAATGTGGAAGTCATTTTCACATTACCGCAACTAGTTTCATTACCATTCCCTTGTTTCTGCTCTTCACTGACCAACCCTGAGCCAGCACTCAGATGATACCATCAGTTTAATATAACGGCACGTTTCTCTTAAATAAAGATATTTAACTGTAGATTTTGCACAGCAGCAATGAGGTTTTACTAGTCCATAGCTCTATAAAAGCCTGTACAAGTGGGTTATTTGTCTATGCCAAATGTGTCACTACTTTAGAATCCTCTACAATGTATTTATTATTTGTTTAGAAAGTTAAACATTATCTGGTCACTGCAGATGATGCTCAATTGGCAAACCACAACAGAAAGCTACACTTAGTCCTAGACTTCACCTTATCACCATCTGAAGAAACACCTATATAAAGAGAGAGAATAGCTGTATTACCAACAAGAATAAAGTCCCAAGACGAAAGGTTTTAGAATAACCATCCTTGCATGCACCCCATCCCCCAAAGGCTTTAAAATGGTATTGGTTCACACACCGTTTTTGTTATCAAGCCATCTACAGATACAACTCTGCCTTAACTACCAATTGAGTCAAGCAAATGGGGATATGTTCATAAGCAGAAATATGGAGCAAATATGCAAGCCCACAGAAACATTTTGCTCAGCTATGATTTATGAATACTGTTAGCTAATGATCTTTGTTTTGAAATGCACAATACAAAATATGTAAACTACAATATTCAAGTTTTATATAAAGGATCTCACAAACTGTCTAACCTTACTTCCTTTCACTACTGTACATGAATGCTGAATTTGTTTTAGTGACATTCCTATGATTACAAACCAAACTGCTCCAAAAAGAAAGCCAGCACCTATTCAAAGACTGTCATACAAAAAAGAGCAATCAAGATATTTCTTTGCTAGATGGCAAAGGAAGAACATTATGAAAAGGTTAAGGGGGCTAAACTATAAAAACTGTTAATTTCCTTTGCTTCAGAGGTATGAAGCAGAAATAGCAAAAGGCATTAAAACTATTTAAAAAAAAGTGAAAAATAAGTAGGACTTGCCAATAAATTAGTCTTGATTTAACATGGATTAAGACAGCATGCAATTTAAGGCACGGTTCCTGTACTTTATATTCACACCCTACTTTAATTCATATCAACTTTCAAGTGTAGCCAAGGCCAAGCCTCTATATTATTCTCTTATTGCATTATGCTAGCTTAATCATAATGTTAGAAATTCAAAATGATTTCTAAACTAAAAAACCCACGCATTTAAGAGCTTACTGATGAGTTATTGCATGTTAAAGTTTGTCACTGCAGTTATGGGAGTTTTACTAATTATCTAGCTCACTTGGGCTTTTTTTTTCTGGAATACAATCTTTGTGATCACAGCATTTTCATCCAATAAAAGAATAAGCCAAAGAAAAATAAATGTAAACCAAGTTTATTTTGCTTTTAAGTAGTGTTCTTAAAGCACTACAGCATGGTAAACAATGTAAATTAGTATAAGTCATCTCAAAAGCCAGAGGTTGTTTTTTTTAATGAGTTGTTAAAAAGATGCAGCCTATTCTAACAGGATAAATATTTTAACCATTTCACTTCGAGTTAATGAAGGCTCACAAATGAGCAACACTCCTCATTGAGGAAAACAAAAAGCTGTTGTCGACAAAGCGACAGCACACACACAAAAACAAAAGAACTGTGTAAAAATAACTAACTGTACTGTGTTCCCATACTCTTTTGTAGTTGCTTTACAATGGGATGATATGCACATGATCTTGCTGCAAACTTGCCGTATGACTTGCAAATACATATAGCCTAGCCTTATCACTCAGTCCAAAAGCTGCTAACTGTTCAGATAATGCAGCACTATATTCCTCTGCTTAACAATTAACTCAATTTGTTTTACTCATTACCTTTTCTTCCAGGCTGCAGGGCAGACTAGAAAAAAAGTGATCCCTAATTAAAAATTGGTACTCTTACGGAGAACTGTATAATTTTGGAATAGACTTTACAAGTTGGGTTTTGACTCCTTTCCCTGTAGCCACAAAATGGGCATGAAGTATTATTTTTTTAAAATGCCTTAATTCTTAACTTCATGCAAATCTAAATAAAGATGACCAAAACAAAAGCTTAAACAATGGAAGGATATTTCACAGAAAATTTCTTATACAAAAAACACATAAGAAAAAGGGCCACTAGGTGACATTTTAATTTACAAATTGGCATCATTTTGGTCAACAAATATCCAAGTGCCGTTTTCTTCTATCACAACAAAGCTGCACAGAAAGAAAACTGCATAACTTGTTTTATGATTTTTAATCACACATTTCCTCAGGAATTTCATGTGGATTAAGGATGCCAGGGACAGACATCTGAAGTTTATGTTTTTCCTCTTGAGCCTGTCGAAGAGCTGTTTCTCTTTCTTCCAAGAATAAGTCAGATGTGTCTTCACCTGCAAATTCCTGAATAATTCATAAACAACATTAGTAAAATACTAAATGCTCTGAAAACAAAGTGTCAAAATAAACTTCCAAGTTAATATGTAGTTATTACAGAAATCTTAAAAAGTTTTAATATGCATGTTGTTGCTTTTAAAATCTGAATCAGCACAAAGGAATAATGCTTCTAGTGCATGATGGTCACATTTTTACTACTGCAACACTGCCCCCCCCCCCATCAGGTTCCTGTTTTAGGTGGTTTTTTCGGTTACATTTAACACTAGGCATCATTACTGAATCAGAATATTAAGAACTTTGTAAAAATACTGCATTTGAGATTGCTTTGCTGAGGGCTACATCTTGAGTTCTACACCCTTAAAAAGGAGAAAGAATATAAATTCAGACACTGGGAGAACTAAAAACAAAAACTATGCTGTAAACCACTAGTACGGTAAAACAGAAACCTGGGCGACTTGTAAATATGCAAGTGCGATGAGTATCGTTAGATATCTGAGGTTATCATTGAAGGAAATTAAGATAGGTTAAAGCTAGAAATCCAACCAAAACCTGAAAAAAAGTTAAGAGCATGAATCATCACATGCCTTCTACAAGTCAATCAGGTGCTTCCATTTTAAAACTCCCCCACATTAAATAGTCATGCAAGAGTATTAAACTAATTTACCTTAATTTGGACTAGGAAATCCCTTAGATGTTCTTTGAATGCAGGAATATCCTGATTTAAACTGAAGAGTCCTGTTACAAATAGCTTAACCTGTGCACTAAATGTAAACAGACTAATTAGTACATCAAACATCAGAGCAGCAATGAAAGATTCAAAAAAGTCACAACATACTTACTCTTGCAGATGAGGAAATGCAGATTTAAGAAGATTAGCAACATACTCCTGAATAAACATTTGGTTGTTTACAGGATTTCCGGGGTTTAAGGGAGTACTTATTTTTCCTTCTTCTACTAAATTGAACATATATGCAAGTATTGATGCATGCATTGTCAAACCTGTGAAAAACGACAGAAATGAAATTAGGGTGTAGGTTGTAGCAGAAATGAAATTTGTACTCATATGAACAATAAATGCTTTCAAGTTTAAAGGGTGTCTATTAATTCTCTCAAACCTTCTTACCAGCTGTGTGTGAAGTGTCTGTGACAACAGAGAAAATATGCTGAAGAATATCACAGAAGTAAGTCTGATAAAAACTCTGGGCAGCAGCTTCCTCTTGCGCAACGTTTTGTAATAGCGTATACAGTATCTGAAGGCCTGGAATAATCAATAAAAGATGGGGTTGACTACTACTAATAAAAATACAACCCTTAATATATCAGCTTGTCTTCATAGGAAGTTGCCCACATCCAAAAAAGCACTACAACATGGTAAACAAAGCAAGTTAGCAAGTCGTCTCAGAAACCACACGGGTATTTTGGGGTTTTTTTTAAATGAGTTATTATAAAAGATGCAGCGTATTGCAATGGGATAAATTTTATATTTTTCAAACACACAATTCTGAATTTTTAAATTTCTTAAGTTATTAAATAGAACTTTTAAAGACAGTTAACAGTTCTATCTCCACAGCCAGAAGAAGGCTGCATCCATATTTTTGTGGATTTGCTTACTAATTACAAAGCATCCAATGAGCTAAGAACCTTGTTCTTGACCTTTAAGATCTCATCCATTGCCAGATAAGACATCCACCAACTCCCACCTTTGATGTAACACATTGTTTTATATTTTGCTATTACAACTACATAAAAGCATGCCAAAGCCACCCATAGAAGTCAAACTCCAAGTACTCAGAATATGGGTTTTGGTTTTTTTTAAGCCTCCCCAGTAAGCAGATAGGATCAAACTGAAAAAAAAAACATTCTTGAGTTTAGACAACCTAGAGAACAAGCTATGCAAAATGGGGGGAGGGGAGAAGCAAATCTAAAGTCCGTGACCTTCCAGAGTATTTTAAGGAACTCAAGTTGTATTCCCCATCCAGTTTCTTTTTGGAAAAAAACAACTTGCATTCAAGTATTTTTAACTTATATTCTTGGAGATGCACCAGAAGCCAGGAAAAAAATTAATAAGCACCCTCAGGAAGTACGACCACAGGATCAGCATATACGCAATCCACAAGCTTAAGTCTTGTAGTTTAATATAGGTTTGCTTTTGCCTTGCCATATTCCTATCCTATAAAAAAAATGAAACAGGCAAGCCTTCAAATCTGCAATATGTGTAACTTGAATCTACCTGTATCTGCAACATTTCTCATTGTATGTTTGAAGGCCCAAATAATAGAATCCAAAACTAGTTTGAACTGTGCAGGTGGAATGGCCAGGAATGCTGGAAAGCAATGAGAATTTACTGCTTGAAGTAGTAAGAAAAAGTTTGTTCTATGTTCAGGATATTCTTCAAAGTCCTAAAAGAGAATACATAAAAAATGAAATTTTAAGCTCCTTAAATATCAACAGTACATAATGTCAACTGTCACAAACAAAAATTCAATGCCAAAATGAGTAAACTTTTCAACTAAGGATAAATCTTTTTCCTTTAAAAATTATAAATCACACAGGGACAGCACATGGGCTTTATGCAAGTATTCTGAAAGGCCAGCATGTTCTGAAAAAACTTATTAGTCAAGCCAGAGTTTATTATGGTTATCAAGCAGGAACTGTTTAAATTAGTGATAAGCTATTTAAGTTTCTTTCCACAACTGTCTGGCAACATTAAAATCTAAGGGGTCAGCACAGAAAAGCTCCTGTTACAGCAGAATAGGGGGAATAGAATTTTTTCAAAAACCACATAAAACCACTGCCTGGTGAGGCGCCATAGTTGGGAGAAATACATCATGTACTGGACAGCATGGGTGTGTGCAGGGAAGGTCAGTGCTAACAGACCTTTAGAAGAACAGGAACACAGAAACACACCATCTTCCAAGATGCTCTGAGATCCACCCAAAAACAATGATCCTCAAGTTCTGTAACTTGCAGGCTGTGCCTATTTCCTCTGAACAACAAAATGCCAGTTTTTCTGAATTTTTTCTTATTGCCTGATCATGTAACAATGGTTGATATAGGGGACACACACTCATTAACTGAGCAACTTAATTCCAAATGTACAAATTTCTTTCCTGCATAGTGAGCTGGAGACACCCAGTGATAGAAAATTAAGAAGAAATTGTCTAATGTTCAGAACAGTAAATTTAAAAACTACCTTGAGATCACAAAAGCAATAACGTTTTAGAACATCTGGATACAAGTTTAAATGCCACACTACTTCAAGCAGACAAGGTTCTTTGGGTGAATCTGGTATCTTTTATTAGACCAACTCAAATAGTTGGAAAACATTTTTTAGCATGCTTTCAGGTTTAAAAACCCTTCATCAGGCCTCAGCCTGACAAAGGGTTTTTAAACCCAAAAGCTTGCTAAATTTTTCCCCAGCTATTTAAGGTGGTCTAAAAAAAGATATCAGATTCACCCAAAGAACCTTGTCCGCCAATGTCCTTAAACCAACATGGCTACGACCTACAGTCCTGTAATTTTACTTCAAAAGTACTTCGGCTCTGGTGTTTCTCTGTTTAAAAGCCCTGCAGTTTAAAATTATTTCTGGTATCTTATTTTGCTTAGTAAATTAGCAATTCATGTTTCACATAGTGAATTAATGTATCTTCTAACGTAAGGGGGATCTTCACTATTAGCTAAGATTTAGGTGCCATGCAACACTACAAGCATTTCAGACAGTGCACACCTATACTTGTGAGGTCTAGCCTGATAAAAAAAATTGAGCTGATACTGATGGTCAATTATCAAATGAGCCATTCGATTGTTGATATGGGGTCCAGCAGCTTGCAGAGTAGTGTAGAGAGACTTGGTACTGTTAATACTTTGAAAAAATTTTCTGGTTGTGTGAGCCCTACTATTCCAGGAGTATCACTCTCTGGTACAGTTCCATTATATCAGAATTATTCATGCTTGCACCATACATGTATTTTAGTATGGGAGGACTATTTTTACCGAAACAAACAAAAAACAAAGTCTGACCACTTGGTACAATGGTTACCAAGCTGTGACCTTCAGGGACACACAGCTAGCACATCCTCTGCTTCCAGCTATACAGATCATAAGCTTATCATTGCAAGTTCTCCTAGATGCCAAGACTCTAATAACGTATTTTTAAAGCTTGGCTGCCTAGACTTTATGTTTAAATCCATATTTAGGTATGCCGTTAAGACAACCCAGGTTAGGAAAACTTGGTTCCCAAGACAAAAATAAAACCGAAAAAAAATCCACTCCCCCAAATACTTTTGCATACAAGCAACAGTACATAAATGCAAAATGATGAGGTGGCTCATAAAATGCTACCATATTTTTTCATATACTACACAACCTCAAGACAGATAAGCAACATTTTTCCCTCATCATTCTGCCTTTCAAAACCATCTTTCCTAGAAAATACTAGTAAGTATGGCATTTTTGCAGGGGAACCACCAGCAGCTACAGCACAGCAGGGGAAGCAAAAGCCTGTTACTGCTCTGTTAGCCCCCTAGCTGCAGGACAGCCCAACCTCTTCTCTGCTCAAGCTGAAGTGGGCAGGCAGCCAGCAGCACCTGCAGAGCTGGTTGAGAGTGCACCCAGCTCAAGAAGGGCAGGGCATTTTGGCTCCAGCAGGTACTGACCCTCAGTTGGCCTGGCAGCAGCTACCAACTGCCCACCCAGCTCAGTTCCAGAAAAGGAGCTGGGCAGTTCCAGTTCAATGCCTGCTGAGTCAGCTGAGGGCTGAACCTGCTAAAGTTGAACTGCTTTGCCAGGTGGGTCCTAGGCCAATTCAGCAGGTCTCTGCTTAGCTGCCTAGCCCATGTGGCTCAAGCAGCAGGCAGGCCAGTTTCAGCACAACTGGGCCTTCTGCTTCTTGCTTCTACATTTAGGATGCACACACCTCAACTTCCTGCAGCTCATTTTCAGAAAAGGTACATGTCACATTTGATTAAGTAAGGTATCTTTGATAAGATTATGACTAATTTGTAAATTCCAATATCTTAGCATTTGCTAAGTCAGCTGAGAGTCAGGTCAGTTCAAGTAGAGGGAGCAAGGAAATGCTATAATAGGTCTACCTTATACTTTAAATACTGCCACCCACTGAAGCATCTAAGGATCTTTCATCAAGTCAACAGCAATGGCCAAGTCAGTAGCAGATCTGAATCTCTAGCTCTCTTTAATCAGTGTAGTACACCACATGAAAGACTGCACATTAAACACATACCTTATTGATCATATTTAACGTGCATTCAAAAACAGCATCAAATATCTGAGGTATTTCAGCAGTAATATGTCCCCCAAGCTTGTTTACAATGATAGCCATTGTACTAAGTACTTCAGGTTCTCTAGCAGCTGGAACGTTTCTCTGGTAGTCGATAAGAACTGCATCCAACAGGGGAGGAACAAAATTTTCAGCTACCTGGCAAAGAAAAGCAGTGCACCGTTTAATTATCAAAGCAAGCCTTTTATAGCAGACTCTAAGGGCAATTTTACACACAAGTCCAACATGTTCTGACTACAGCACGGAGCAGACTCGATTAATCAAGTCTGCTGCAGCGTTCTAATCAGAATGCTACAGCATCTTGTGTATGCAGTGTCCTGCATTTCAAAATGGCAGAAGGGGCACTATAACTAAAGTTCATTTGAGCTTTAAAGTGCCCCCCCCCCCCCCAATACATCTCGGGATGTAAGATGCCCCTGCCATTTTGAAATGCAGGACACCAATTTCATGAGATGCCAGGGTCATCTTACATCCCAAGAACTGCTCTAATTAAAACACACTCCCCCGCAACCTACCTCAAAACACATGTATAGGCACCCTAGTTTTTTTTACTTACCATATTTACTCAAATAAGACAACCTTTAATACAAGATGACTCCCAAATTCAGTGTTTATACAGTTATTTTTCAGATGTAGAATCTAATTATTGGAGGTCTGCCTTGAATTTGCTCCCCTCCTACTGCTACAGCAGAGAAAATAAATCCCCCACTTCTTCCCCCTGCAACTACTTCACCTCTTCATTACTGTCAGACCCTGCTCTCTTTGAGCTGTAATAATTTGCATATAGTACCCATATACTAATTTCATCCAGAATTGATGCATGTTGCCTTTTTTTTTTTTTTTGGAAACCACTGCAAGTTTTAGCACAGGTACTCCATAAACACACTTTTGCACAGCAGAGCCAACAGCATTTCAAGCTATGGTGACCCCACAACTCAGTACTTGTGCATATTCCAGGCAACACCCCCACCAAAGGAATCCATGCGCTAATTAGCCCCTTGCTCATGACAGGAACTGGGTGTTCTTGTCATGAGTCTTGGGATCCTTCAAAAATTTATTTGCAGATGAGACACAGGGCAACCTGGTCTGGCTTCACCTCATGGAGGGCAGGGCTACACATCATGAGACCGGCTAAAAGAAGGGGCGACAAAAATTCTGGGTGAACAGTTTGGGGCCCTGCTTGGTGCAGCTGTAGGAGTAAAAAGTTGAAATGTATGCCATGTAAGTGATAGACAGGGTTTCTTTGTATGCCAATGTAAGATGAGGGGCTTTCCCTCCCCATGCTGACTGGGGGGAAAAAAAAAAGCTTCCCTGTATTTGAAGAAATACAGTATGTGACTACATCTCAATTTCTCTTTAATAGAAAAAAAAAAAAGGAGTTTACATAATGTGCACACTTTTATCATACAACCAACAATTGTTCCTTTAAAAATTTACTTTTTGGTAACATTTCCCTTAACTTCGTTCTTGCCTCAGAGTATTGTTCAAATAGATCCATTTCAACTGAAACTTGACTGCAGCTCAACAGTATTCTATCATGATGCAAGTAAACCACCCATGCCTTCAGTATACGTTGTGTTTTAGATTTCCCAAAAAATGACAACATTTTTTGATATGCCATAATTATTGATTTTTTCAAAGTAGATGGTTTTATGGACAGTTAACATTTACTTACCATCTGAGGATCATTGGACCTGCTCACCCAACCAGAAATTAGTTTTAAAGTTTCCCTTTTTACTGTCCTCATACTTCTAATCAAAGGTTGCTTTGTAACCATTTCACCTGAAAAATTTTAAAATTTCAGTTAAGGATATTAATTTAAATTTATTGTAGAAACTTAGTACAACAATTTCAAGTGCGAGACTTAACAACTGGATTCATTCTAGTAGTCAGCAGACGTACATTCATTCTAGTAGTCAGCAGACGTACAAAGAGTTTATGTTCATGTGCACAGAAGACACCTATAGTTATTGTCATTCCATTTCCCAGTGGACATCTAGCCACAAGTGTAGCATGCACCTTAAAGCAAGTGTAAAACTAAAGGAGCTTTACAAGTCAGAAACTCAACTGCATTTATGAAGCTACATGGGATGTCTGGTACAAGTCAACTGATGGGGAATCTTTTACCTTACACAGTCAAACGTGTGACCTAAACTTTAGTGTCCTTTAGAATCTTCACATGTTTTTGGGGAGGCAAAGAAGGTCTTCCACACTTTTGACCTTGTTCTCTGTATCATCTTTCTGAAGAGGAATTGCAAATCTCTCACATATGCCAGTTATACTACTACTAGATAGGCATAAGAAGTATCTCTCAACTTCACTATGTCCCAAGCTCTAGTTGCACTGTTTCCAAATGATTAATCAAGCATCTTGGCAAGGAAGACCAGTAAAGTCTACTAGCTCCAGATATTTAAGTTTCTTAAAAAATCGTAAGTGGTTCACAAAAAATAGATTACAATTTTTTCCCCCCAAAAGCATTCTAGAGCTTTATTACAATGCATGGGAGACATGTTTTACAGCTCTGCAAACTGTTTTGGACTAAGAGATTACAATCTCTTCACCAAAACACGTGAAGGAATTTGATTTGAAAAAAGAACCAATAAAGCTCTTGATCATGAGAAAAAAAATACTTATGTAAGCCATATTTTCTACAGCCTTAATTTCACCTTCATGCCTCAGCTTCCTAACCTGTAAAATGAGGATGGTGTATCGCTCCTCAAATGACATGCTTTGAAATGCAAGGAAAACACTATTATTCTCATTTTCACAAATAACACATAGAACATCTTACCATTTGCCTGAATAGCTGCAGAAATGTTTTCACTTAGGCACTTGTATACATTCAGCATATCTAAATAAATTCTTCCAAGCTGAATCACAAAGGGGTGGCCGACTGCTTTACATGCTCTTACGTTTGTTTTCAGGATGCTACCCAGCTGTTTAACTGTTTCAGGATCCTTCAGAATATCAACATTCTGTTGAAAACAACAACTGAAATCAGGTCTGCTCAGTAAGGGAGTCAGTTAAGATGCTGAAGTTAAGATTCAAAAATGGTCACTGAAAGCACACTAGTTAAGAGAGAAAGGCTGAAGAATCTGCCACTGGAGAAAACAGGCCCTATACTGCTGCTCAGGGCTTTTAACAAAGATAGCAGGAAGACTGGTAGGATGAACCCTGGATTACTTTGGTTTTACTCCTCAGAAGTAGTAGTACACTAAGTATACAAGCAACAATGCTAACACTAGCCAAATGGAAGAGAAAAACACTGGAATAGGGGACTAAGAAAAGAACAGACTAGAAAATGAAACAGAGGGAGAAACTTGCTTTAGTCTAAAATTCAGAACAGTATTAAGTGAGACTCCATGAAGAATCACTCTTCACTGCATAGACTCCTGCAATGGGATCAGAAAGAGGAGCAATCTGGAAAAACTGGAGGTTTAAATAGGGGATTAGAAACGTCTATTTTCCTCCTTGCCACCTTCTTGAATAAACGGTATGTTTTTCGGAGAGAGTTCACATTTGAGATTTTCAAACAATTCTCTCCTACCTGGCACACTGACATGTTGGGAGAGGTAGCTGGTCTCCCAAAGATCATGCACAGGTAAAAACTGATATTATGTTGCTTTTTTTTTTTTTAAACAGACTATAAACATGTCCATTTTCCCATTTATTCCCCTTGCTTGTTTTTGCAATTTTTAATGTTATATCATGCCAACCATACTACTGGACAGCTTAAGCCAGATCTTTCCAGAACTAATCCACAAAATGCCTAGGGACCTACTTAATTTGCAGCTTAGTCACAGCAGGAAGAACCAATTTCATGGGCATTTCCTGGTGGCTTGGTCCCTCACCATTGATTGGCAATGGCCCCAGGGGGAAGACTGCCATCTTGGCTGATGGCTGCCCTTCATGTGGTCCCACCTCTAGCCGCTGACTGGCAGAGAGGCCATTGCGGTCGGGAGGGGGAGAAGGGGAGGGAGGATCACAAAGACCCATGGCCATCATCTTGGCTGCTGATTGCCATACCACCAGCTGGTGCCTTCATCTCCCAGGTGGGCTGCGAAGGCAGCTAGGAACACTGGCTCCCACTGGGGAGCCAGGACTTTATTTTTATTTTTTTCAGTTTGATTTCATGATTTCTGCAAAAATTGTGAAGTAGTTCCCCAACAATGCCCCACTAAGCACCAAAAACTTTACTGGAAACCCAACATTTAACAAAATATCCTTAACTAAATATATAAATTTTAAACACCATTAACACTTCTGTAACTCTTACTTTTGTTGCTTGTTGAATTATACTGTCCCACACTTGATTAGGGAGCAACATGTACTTTTCTATCAGATGCTCTTGTACAGTTTGGTCAGTCTGTGCCCCAATCATGTATCCAACAGCTTCATAGAACGTATGAACCTAATTAGAACCAAAAAAAATGAAATGGAAGGTTTTAAAGAGTCAAGACAAAACTCTGCTTACAGTCATTACTGCATCTCCAGTCATTTACGCATTTTGTTTACAAAATATTATAGCTGAAAACCGTTTTCAAAGTCTGGAAGTTTACCCATTTTTACACTTCATCAATATTCTATATTTTAAAGAAACAAGTATCACTATAAAGCACATTTTTCAGCATCTGCTGTAGAGTCTACTAAAAACACTAAAACCTGAGGCATATGTAAGTTTTTGCATTTATCTGGCTTTATCAACTGTAGTCCTGATTTGGAGAGAGAATAATTTCCTCAGTAGGTACAGTATTTTCTCAGTATCAGTCAGGGATGACAGCAGAGGTCCACAAGTGGCCTGGGCAGCCTGCGTGGCACAGGAAGGGGAAGGGGCAGGCAGCAATGGCAACTAGGACAGGAAGCAAAAAGAAGAACAGCAGATTGAACCAGGAGCACAGGAAAGGAAGCAGAAAGCAGAGCAGTGGATCAAGCTGGGGAAGGGGATCAGAGTGGCACTCAGGAGGATACAGGGCTAATTTGTTGCACCTCTGCCAGAAAAACTGCAAACCCTGCCCCCCAACTAATCTATAAGTAGCTATGCCTGGAATGCTTTATGAAGGAGCAACAGTTGGACACCCATGATTTCCCTACCATCTCTGCCCCCAATCACTGGGAGATAATGAAAAGAGCTCTGTAGTCCAAAGCAGGTGGATATTGTAGAGGACCATGCTCAGCAGCTGAAGAATGAAGCAGAGCTCCACAACCAGCTTAGTTATGAAAGAAGATTAAAAGCAGCTAGGATAAGTTTGTTGAGAAGATACAAGAAGGGAAATGCTGGGTCTCCACAGAAAGCATAATATGTAGAGTTTATAGTTTTTCCCCTTCATATTGCCACAGCGGTCAGCAGCTTTTTTCTTTTTTGCTTCTCTCAGAAGCACTGGGTGTTGGCTGTAGTTGAGGCTAGGGATTTTTGACCAGTGTGTGATAATATTCCTGCTAGGACTAAAGCCTGGAGGTTCCCCTACTCGGGGGTTAAAACAAATCTATTTGGAATTAAGAAGGAAGTCTACCCCATGGGTTAGACAGGTATGGACTGGGGGGGGGGGAAGGGTTCTGCCTCCCTTATCATGGGGAACAGCCCTCTTGCTTGAATCTCTTGAGGGCATTTCAACAGCCCTTGTAGCAGCAGGACACCGACCACTCTTGTCCCCTTGCTTTAACTGTTGCTTTTAGTGTCTCTGGGCAACATGACTTGTAGTTCTGCTACACAGAGCTGACTGCATAGTTTTAGGAGTAGGTTAGATGAGGACTTCTATGGAATGGTTTGAATAAGGATGATGTTACTTCGAGCAGGGGGCTGGGGGCAAGATGGCTCCACAAGGCCCTACACCAAACCTACTTTTCTATGAGTCCACAGGTTTTAGTAGTGTCTTCAAATACTACTGCAATAATAGCATACTATATTGAAAATTCAAGAATCACTAGGGATGAGTACTTGAAAAATTTAGCCTAAAATTATTCAGCTTAGGGCTATTTATTTTCTGATGAGAGTTACAGCCATTAAAGTTAACCACTTATTCTTTTAAAGAGGAGATGGAACCTACTTGAAGGATGCCAAATAAAACCTTATGCAATGTTATTCCGTCTTCTTGTAAGCTGCCCTGAATCTTTGTTGGGAAACGTGGCATATGAAACATGATTACATCAGATTAGTGCCATTGTACTTTCTTCCATTAACAAGACTACAAGTATTAGTCTGGTCTCCTGAAAACCATTACTAGTAAACCTTCACTATGGCTTTCGTATTTTTCTTTTTTTGTATTACATAAAAGTTACCTAACCACTGAATTAGATTTACCTGTTGTGGCTGAAGGTCGCAAATGATTGTATTAATATTATTCAGTATCTCGTCAATAAATGGCATGACTTCTCCCACTTGGACCTGAACAAAATGTCGGCGGCATTTCTGTGCTATTTTTATGAAGGTATCACAAGCCATGTCCTGGACACCATCATGAGTCTCTAAATTAAAAAAAAAAAACAAGAACAAAAAAACCCCACACTTACTGAGACCCTTATGTTCAATATAAAAGTTACAAAAGTCTGAAGATTACATGTTACCATCCCAACACTTTCAGCACTTGTCACAAGAAATTCAAGTATCTGAATCAAGAACATGTGAAATTTCAGTCATATTTACCATGCATGAACTCAAACAGCTTGTTAACTACCGTCTTCAAAAATTTCCAGTGCGCTCTCAAAAAACGTGGATATTGACCTACTATATACATGATATTTGATGCAATGATAGCTTTGTTATCTTTCCCTCGCTTTTGTTCGCAGAGTCCCAAAAGGTCCTATAAGAAAAAAAAAAAATCTCTTTTAGTTTTCTTTTCAAATATTTACTTCGTCCATTTCCTTAAGTGCAATGGGACAAGATTCAGAACACTACCACAGCTGTTAAAATCAACATACCAGGAAAACCTTGAAAACAGCCAAACTCAAGTTTTGCTAGGTGTTTCAAAAGCATTGAACAGATTCAATTACAAAGCTGGAAATACAGTTGCTGTTTTTTTCCCCCCCCACAATTCCAAACAACTTTCTAGACAGCAATTATTACTGTATTTACTTGAATGCAAGACAAGATTTTTCCCTCCAATCACCATGGGGAAAGAGCCAGCACTAAATACATTGGCCATCATTATACTATTGCTAAATGCAGCATATGCTCAGTAAATGGAAACCAACTATCAAGCTGATTAAATGCAACCAACACTGAGCATGAATGTAAAACATGACTACTGACAGATGTGAAAAACAACAGCAAAACACCACAAACAAGAAAACTAGCAATTTAGTGGAAGAGGACATGTATTAGTTTGACCTGGCTCTGCAGCATCTGTATACATCGTATGCTTCAGCGGGTCTTTTTGGTGCTTTTAATAGCTGATCTATTTAATTGGCTAATAGCAAAAAGTGCCAAAAAAACCATGATGAAGCACTCAATCTATGCAGACACTGGGTGAGCCAGGTCAAACCAGCACAACTAATTCTGGACATGCGCTGCACTTGGTGTGTGGGGATGCCAAGCTTAAATGTGCTGTTGTTTTGTTTTTTCCATTTTTCTAAGCAGCCCATATTGGGCAAACATGCTGATATAACTTTTATTTTTTTTGCAGGGGTGGCATCCTACTTGTAAGCCCCAGCTCCAAAAGCCTTGGAGTTCAGATGCCCCCTCGTCTTCCTTGTTCTGGCCAAAAGGCTGAAGAGCAGCTAGAGGAAAAGCCCAAAAGCAGTCCCCTACTGCCACAAAAACACCAACACTCGGAGCCACAAACTAGTTACCCAGAATCCCCATGTCACCCCCTCTCAGCCTGTCGCATATGATTGTGGCCCTGCCCTCCATGAGGTGAAGCTAGACCAGGTTGCTCTGCTATGTCTCACCTGCAGGATCCTAGGATTCTTGACAATCTAATCTTAAGGTCTAATTGCTCCACCATTTATTAGGAAATGTTTGCTTCTGCTGAAGAAACTAAAATACCTATACAGGAGTGGGCCAACCCATGCCATGTGTGCAACAAGCTGCTGCATGTAGCATGCAAGCCCTGGGCACTCAGTAAAGTGAGGTGCCAGATGGAGGAAAAGGGGACTCAAATCTCTGGCTGTGGGGC